GAGAGCAAAGGGATTTTATTGTTCTGCCATCTGACCACAGGCAGCCCAAGCTGTTTTATGGGCTTGRTCACTTGATTGTGCAAAACCTCTAATTTCACATTTGGACGACCTTTGCTAGGCCTAGTTTTGGTGATAACAGTACCATAGGGGAACGAAAAACACACACCAAAAAACAAAAGATTTTGCCACCCAAGCCAGGCCAGAATGCACCAAAGGCTGAACACACTCATGAAGATGACAAAATAGACTTTTGATACTCACGATCGCAGCCATCAGAAGAGAAGTTRACGTGCATKACCATACATCTGTCACACTTTCGTCCTGTCACGCCWMRCTTACAGTGACACTGACCAKTCAAACTATCGCATGGTTTTGATGCATTTGAACCAGTTTCGTTACAGTCACAGGCTGAAAAACAATGTCACGCATCTGGTGATTTTAATAGTCAAGGAGGGAAGGAAACAAGGAAGGAAGGAAGGAAGGAAAGAAGGAAGGAAGAAAGAAAGAAAGGGACGGAGGGAGGGAGGGAGGAAGGAAGGAAGGAAGGAAGGAAGGAAGGAAGGAAGGAAAGTGAGTCATAGTTTTTACCTTTACACGCTGCAGCTGGAAGGCCATAAAAGAAATCTTCACATTTATCACACTTTATTCCCGTGGCGTTCTCTTTACATTCACAGACTCCTGACTCRTTACACTGTAAGTTATTGGAACCAAACTCATTACACTTGCACTCGGTACAGCCACTCTTTGTGAAGTTATAGCTATTGAGCTGGAAAAGAAAACATTCATTCAAATCAACAGATGAACCTTTAGTCATAAAAATAGCCTGTTTGAATTAAACCAATTATCAAAATATATATTTTGTAGATGTCCGCATCTCTCCTTTGATTAACGTCCACCAAAACCTACTTCGTTGCGACAAAGTTGTACGAATTTACGTGTGATTGGGAAGCATTGAAAGAAATATAGTTGCTCTTAAAAATTTCAGAACCCCTGCGAATTCACTCGATATTATTACCTCGCATCTGGAACAGTTTCTTTCAGTAACGTGCGGCTTACAATAACATTGTCCTGTCCTGTGGTCGCATATGGAGCTGTTTGATCCAGTGATGTCACATCGACAATCTGGAAAACAAAAAAAAGCAATTGAAGAGC